TGTAATAGATTGGTGGTAGCGACCACCTACTCCCGTGTGTACATGTCTATATAAGCAGGATTCTAGGGGTCCGCAGGTAGCTGCGGGTAATGATGGTCTTTTTGGCCTTGTCTGTAGCAACTCCCCTAGGTTGTTCTATGACAATTTATTAGTAATATTATAAGCTTCTCTAGCCTGGTCCTTATTGGTAGTTCTTAATTATTTTTAAGATTATTATTATCTCTGTCTGTAATCCTTTAATTAATATCTTATCTTACTATAGTTAAAGTATAAGCAGTTCTTTTTATGCCTTTCAAGTTTCTTCTTAAAGATTTTATTTAATTAAGTCTAGTACTGTATTATATCCAGCTCTATTAATTTTAATCTGTAGGAATCCTTATATTCCAGACTTCTAGATTATATTAATTATTTATTATTAATTTAGTAGCTTTATTAATTATTTTATTAAGATATAGATTTACTGGTCTATTAGTCTTTCTTCTGTTTTGTATTATATTTATATAATTTATTATTAATTTTAACTGCTGCTGCAATTATTCATTATAAGATATTTAATTATTTTTACTAAATAAGTTTTTTTTAAATCTTTATTTTAAGACTTTTTTTGAATTATATAATATAGGTGTCTTTATCCTAATCCAGGTAATTAATAACTTGCAGGAATTCAGAGATATATTTAGATATTAATCTAGTCTACTTAAGTTACTATAATTTTTATTCAGTATTATATACTGTATTAATGTCTCTGAATATTTATTCAAGATATTTCTTGAATTTAGCATAACTGGTAAATATTTTCTTAGTATTATTATCCTAATTTTCTATCAGTTTTTTCTAGTATTTATAAATATACAATTTAAACCAGTTAAATACTGTTCTAGTCAGGTAGGTAGATATAAAAAAAACCTTATTAATTTTATTCTTAAGTTTCTCTTTATTTATATTGAGGTATAGATCTAGCTAGGTTAAAAAAACTCTAAGTTTTAATCTGCTGTTATTAAACAGTTCTGGTAGTTTAATCTTAACAGACTTAACTATTAAATAATTTTTAAATATCTGATTTTATTGTTCCAAGGCAATGATACTTTTTTATAACTAATTAATTAGATTTATTAATTCCTGTATTATTAGATTCTGTTACTATTCTTTTTCTTAAATACTAGAGTCTTGTTATAAGGTATATAATAAGCTTAAGATAGTTAATATAATAGATAGTTATAACAGATAATACTTATACTAACTAGTATTTAATATATTAAATCCTAGGATTACTCCCCTGTTCCTGTTAGCTTAACTTTATTAATATATATATTATTAAGCTGGGTTAAGATAATATCAGGCTGTTAATTTATCTAAAACAGCTAGTCTTGAATAGAAGAAGAAAAGTAAAACTAGATAGTACTGTATAGTTATCTGTAAGTAAATATAGATAAGTATTATATTATTAAGTTTCTAAAGATAGGTTACTTAAAAATAATATAGATTAAGCACAAAGAACAGAACTAATTAAGTATATAAATAAATATTCTTATATATTCTATTCTTTGTATACCATATCTCATATTATTTAAGATAAATTAGTGGTTGATCTAATCATAATTTCAGGATTCTAATATATCCTGAATATACTCTTGATAGTAGATCTGATAATAAATAATTATGTAACATGAGATCATCCTGGATATTATAGAAGTAATCCAGAATTCTTCTTAATAAGAGTTTCTGATTGCTCGAGTGCTGCCTTTATCAGCACTTTCTGCCTAACGAGTCCGCCTTACTAGCAGGTCGACTAGCAGGGGTCCGTAACACACTGCTATATACAAAGCCATTAATAGCAAGAAACTATTTCCAGATACTAGTAATATCAGGGACATGAGCCCTACTAGTTCTTAGATTAAACTAGTTACTTAGGCAGCTTGGAACTGAAGTTTAGGTTAGTAGATCGGGTAGTGCAAAACTCTCTAACAAACTAGATACCTGCAGAAGGCTGTTCATGACCCCAGCCATGGCTTGTATGGCTTCTGCCCACTTACCACTACAGGGGTCTGCAGTAAATAGGTATTCATACAAGATTTTATCAAATGTAGGATCAAGAAAAAAAAGGAATGTTCTACCTTACAGAAATATGCGTTTGAAAAAAAAGAAAAAAAAAAAAAAAAAAGCTTCAGAAAACAGAGCATACTTAGAATGAAAAGCTATACATCATCTCTCTAGAAGCCTAGAACGGTAGCAGTCTGGCTAGATAAATACTAGTCATGATTCCCAAGTAAGATGAAATACAGCTGCTGTTTAGAACAAATTCTTGGCTGTCTTATCGTTTACTTGAATAGATATATTGTATATAATTTTTAATTACTAATAATTACCAATACTGAAGGTATTAGAATTGTTCTGCTTATTCAAGAGGCTATAAATCAGGTCAAGTTCAAGTTAATAGGAATGTTAATATCTACCTGCTATATATTAACCATACTCTGGCTGTATTTCTGCAGTAATTAGGTGAAATGGATGCCTTAACTACGAGACAGAATGATTACCCGCAGTTACTGATTCATCCTTCTGAACCAGGCATGATCAGGCAGTAAGGTAAGTGAATCAGACAGACAATTATAGGGATTATCTGCTTCGTGACCGCCGTCTCAAGTAGGTAGATTAAGTGAAAAGCCGGTTAGATAGCCCATCTTGCTATCCGCATACCTATTTATTTCTATTTTAGATATAACTACGTTTGAGGAGCTACTAGATTGTATATAGACTAGATGAGAATAAGTTTCTAATGGTGTTCCAACCTTTCCCAGGATATAAATAAATGGAATGATTGCTTTGTTATAAAGTATTATGTTCAAGTCATCCCTGCTGCTTGGTAGCCAGTGATACATCGGTTTCGTCTACTTGGCACAGAGCGCCGTTTTGACACATAATATAGATATATAAGATATTATAGGTTGTTTATCAACCAACTAGTCAATGTGGCTATAAGAAATATCGAGATTATTCCGATAGTTTTTCATTTTATTGAAATATATATACCAAGCTTGAAGTCTCCTAGACTTCTAATGGCTGAGATATCGGGTCTAAGATAGGAGGAACTTTTGTATATTATTCATTGCAGAATAGACTGCCCAACCATATGGGCCGCCCAGAATTTATATTATGCCAAAAAAAAGCCTACTAGTTATTGATTGGCATTTACCAAGTGAGGTGGCCAACACGATCCTACTGGTACTGATAAGTTAATTTCTAATAGTTACAGTGACTCAAGGATACATTGCCGCTAGTACATAGAGAAAACGTTGACACTCGCAGCCTAATATATAAGTATCATGATGACTATCATATATCAATGGAAGCATTGTATTTTCTAGACCAAAACTCTGTGAAGAAAGGAATCAGAATCTAGGGAGTGTTCACTGACAATATGAAATACTGCTTTCTGGTAAAGCTTATATTTTTGCCGCCTCTGATTTTATTCACTCCCTGCTCATGCTGCGGAACGTTGTGTTCGTTTCTGGCTTGAGAGTTGGGCTTAGGGTAAAGCCCCGTCCATACCGTTCACTGAACTCAGGCGTTGTTTGATAATCCGCCACGTCACTTGCATCTGGCATAAGGCTGGTGTTCGAGGAAGGCTTATTATCAGCTCTCAGAGAAATAGGATGCGCAACAGTGAGATCTCGCGATAGCTGCTGTATTGTTCCGTTGCTCATATAGCCTCCTACTTGTCTGCTCCTCCAGCCCATTCCTCGGTTTTTCCCATGGAGAACCTTCCCATTCGCGGAGACCATGAACTGAAGAGCGTCCCCAGTACCATGATTTTCGATAACACTGACGGACTCCTTGAAGTTGCTATCAGCATGAGAGCATATATCAAGACACTGCCGAGCAGCTTCCCACTCATCGCGTAGCCGCGATAAAACTTGCGTATCTTCGACAGAGGAGATTCTACTTTTAGATTTAGCAAGAATTTGATCCATCACCTCCTGCATATGCTTTTCCAGCTTGGCAGTTGTTGCAATAAGGCTCCTTTTACATTCCTGTAAGCCTTTGTTCGTGACAGTCTCGGGCGACGAATCAGCCATCTCAGATCCTCCAGCTGGGCTCGTGTCGTCGGATAACAGCTGGATCTGGTCGATATGGTTTGATAATTGGGCGCAAATCTGCAGGCATTTCTCTGTACTCCGGCGCTCCTCCTTCAGGGAGTACAGTTCGGCTGCATCCGGATCGGATAGAGTTCCGTCCTTTTCAGCCAGCTGCTCCAGCTTCTGATCTATACTCTCGAGTCGGGCTCCCAGGTCCTCTTTTGCATCCTGAATCAGAGCCTCATAGTTCTCAATGCTCTCAACAGCGACCGCCGATTTGCGTCTGGTGCGGAATCAGAAATCATGACCACGGAGAAGAAGTTTGATAAGATACCCATGTCGTTGGGGTGGGGATGGCTTACAGAGTTGCATCAGTTAGGGCAATATTAATTGTGGCCTTATACCCTGCCAACAAGTGACGGAAATCATCGATATTATCACCCAAGTATGTGATTCTTGCCCAGTCACGGAAGCTAGTCCGATTGTTGCTCGATCTTGACGCGCACCGCACCAACTCCTGCTGAAACTCCTTGCAGGCATTGCCACAACGAAGTAACGGCAGATCTAAGGCTGAGAGGTCTGCATCAGAGTTCGATTCAACTAGCTCAATAAGGGGCGCCAACACAGCCCTCAAAGCTTCCAGCTCGTCGAGAAGCTCGCGCACACGCTTTGGGTGCGAACGGAAGCTGTTCACCGTCTCATAAAGTGAGACAGTGCCCTGAAATGCGAAAGTTGCCAAGGCAAGTATTCCAGAGGCGAGCCCGATTGGTTCCGCCATGGTTATCTGTGTGCAGTGGTATAGCTTGACTGACTGTGCAAAGCACCAAGACAAAAGGTGAACTAGTTTAGAGGAACAAGGCGAGATCAAATGTCCACACGGAGGCAGTCTATGTAAGGAATTTTGGATTGTAGATGAATGGGATATTCCTGGGGGCTAGATGGGCTTTTATCACTTCAATGCAGCATCACCTGGTCAGGCTGTAAGCGCCGTGTTCAAATACCAACTGCTGCTCTGTGGTGGGCGAAGGGGTTCCAAGGTGGTCGGGGTGGGGCGGCGGCGGCGGCTGCTCAAACGATCGGCTTCGTGGGGAGGCAGTGTGCATTTGTCGATGGCTGTTACGTATTGCCCGCAAGACTAGTGCGGGCGCGTACGTGAGATTTCGAAATTCCTGGCTGCGTATGTCGGGAGCGAAGGCGGTCACATGGCGAGCCGCCTGTGGAGACCAGCGATAAAAATTCATCCAATGGCATCAATACTACTTGTCGTCGGTAATTGTAGCCTCTTGTAAGATGTCTAAGCACAATTAACTAATCATCTTCCAAGCTTATGGGGCAGGCTTCAATGACCAGCTCAAGAAAGACTCGCCAAGCTTCCAACTACAATTTTAGCCACGGCAGCAGCTGTTAAGGACGCTGATGGGAAAAGTCAACGAAGTGGAAAGGGAGATTGATTGATATGACCATTGAATATATTGGGGTGCCATCTCAAAAGCTAACAATGCACGACTACCATAACCACACGGCTAGCAATGATTCCTGCTAGCGCAGAGCAGAGGGCAGCAAATAATGGCAACGATCCTTACAGGATAGGTTTCCTAAGATTGAGGCGATATCAGGGTTGGCTTCGATGGCGATGGAAATATGCTCAGCCACTGCCCGACAGTCTTGCGCAAGATTTGGGCAGCAATAGTCGTGGATCAGGCCCGGACATGATCCTGGGCGATAAGGCTACGAGCCATGGCATGAGCCATTGTTGACTTGCCTGTGCCGACAAGACATTGTTTCATGGTTTTCGTCACGTTGATACACCCGAGGTATTGCGAGGTATACCGTCTTCACGTGACTTTAGTGCTAATATATGGCTAGTGGGAACTTCACGCATTTAACATCAGTAGTCCCGGGTTCCTAAGATGCCATGAACGCCTGGGATATAGAAACTTGATTCATGACAACATCTACCAACTTTACAATTTGGCCCCTCGCCAGTCCAAGGAGTTAATTATTGAACCCTTTCATATTAGTTTAATCCAGTCTTACAGCTGACCAAACATCTCTAATAGCTGCTCGAACTGACATTTTCGAATTTAACTTATCCGGCTGAGTGAGGATTACCATGGATAAAACTAGAACAAAACCCTGCTACAAGCACGCTAGCGGCGAAGAAAGGGGCCATGTCAAGCCAATACAGGGGGTAGGAGAACTGTGGCTTGTCACCCATATTGAGGGCGAAAGAACAATAGCAAGGCGGTCTGATTCTTCCCGCCACCCACATTGACCCGAAGCTTTTGTCAGTCCAAGTAAGTTAGCTCATTTGCTCATGATGTTCGAGTTGTCGTCCTTTATTGTTTTGATTGTCGCGCTACTCGTAATCTCCAGTTTAATATCACTTCTTTGTCTACTTCTAAGTACCGACTACCGTTGGCCTGTACTAGGAAGCTAAATGGCGCTATATATGCTGCTCTTAGTTCGGTTCTTCCAACATTGCCTTCTTCTTGAAATTTCCCGGTACTTCCTCTCCCCTACAGAACGATGTCCAAAAAGCATACTGTCCTCATTACCGGCTGCTCTGATGGCGGTCTTGGCTCGCACCTTGCCCTTAAATTTCACGCTGCCGGGTGGCGCGTCATTGCCACAGCTCGAAATCTGTCCAGGCTCAAAGAGGCCAAGAAGTCGGGCCTTGAAATACTCCATCTCGATACCCTGTCTGACGACTCCATCCGCAAGTGCGTTGTTGAGATTAGCGAGCTAACCGGCGGATCACTTGATGCGCTGGTCAATAATGCGGGCGCTGGATACTCAATGCCAGTCATGGATATCGACATCCAAAAGGGGCATGATCTTTTCGAGCTTAATGTCTGGTCTATCATCAGTGTGACGCGGGCATTCCTTCCACTTCTCATGCGGTCAACTCGTGAAGGCGGCGCCCTGCTCATTAACCATGGCTCTCTTTCTGGAACCATTGCAGCTACAGGCCCCTTTGCAGGTGTATACAATGCTTCCAAGGCAGCAGCAGCTAGCTTCACGGAGAATCTACGATTAGAGCTGCAGCCGTGGAATATTAGAGTCATCAACTTGCTAACGGGTGCTGTCCGATCCAATTTTCACGTCAATGCGCCACGTCCCGAGTTGCCGCCAAATTCGCTCTTCAATATTGCCAAGGATATCGTTGAACAAGCCATGGATAACTCAGACGATTCTGGTGATACTGATCCAGCGACATGGGCGCGCCAGGTTGTGCAAGAACCTAGCAAACGCAGCCCTGCGTATTGGATCTGGCGAGGCAAGTTCTCGACATTGGTAAGACTGGGTAACATTCTTCCACTGGGCTTCTTCGATCGCATAATGAAGAAAATGGTAGGACTTGACGTGATTGAACAAAGGGTCAAGCAGCAAGAAAGATCTTCTTGAATAATTCGTGAAATACCCTATCGTGACGGATTAATATGCGATTTGGGCGTTGTGCCAGGTCCACAAGACATACCCGCTCTTTGCATATATCACAGTGAACAGGGAGGGCAAGAGGCTTATTGTTCCCGATGGCGTGAATCGACTACGGTAGCATGGCTAAATGCATGATTTATATAGCTAAGATGTCACCTTTGCTATTGTGTTGTATTCATAGTAAGGCCCGAGTGCCAAGGCCTAAATCTGTTTCCACAATGGACTCGGCGTGTTGGGATCCATCGGGAATGTAAAAGGAAGCAAAAGCTAAGTGGTAGAACACCCCCGACCTACTAGTGGTTAGTTCAGTAGTAGCTCATCGAACTTCCAATATCAGTGTACAGTATTTATCTCGATATTCTGCCCCGATTACGCCCACGATTTCCTAAATGCGCGGAACAATCAGTCGTTACTTGGCATGCGGGGTTACACTGATATGGCTATTATTCGTTCGCGTCCATCGTCCACCATTTGTACTCCTTTGCCTTGTGCCCCAAATATACCGTAGTGATGATTGTACTTACTTAAGCGCTTATCATGCGATGAGGCCAGTCGAAATATATTGCTGCTGAGTTTACCCAATCACTTCACTGCCCAGTATATCATCTGCAAAGGGGAATCGTTTTGCCTGCTGTCATGCACACTCCTTCGGCCCATGGCATGAGGCGGTGAGTTGGATTACTGAATCAGTGGGAACCGATCATTAGTTAGCACGGCCCAACGCCGCTCGCTCGACTCTCTGTTTTCAGTACGCACCGATCAGAACTGTTGTTTGAAACTGCAAGGCAATCCTTCTGGGTCGCAGCTATGAGTATCTCGCCCCCTCCCACCCCTCCATCAAAGGCCCCAACGGATGATGAATGGAAATTCGAAGCTATTACATTACCCTGCGAGTGGATCGAGGATTACCATCCAGGTGGTTACCACCCCGTCATTCTCGGCGACTCTTTCAACAATGGTCAGTACAAGGTTATCCGGAAGCTCGGTGAGGGCTCATACTCAACAGTTTGGCTCGCCCGTAACGAGAAGTGAGCTTATATTCACTGTTCCTACTGCGCGATGTTCTAAATGGCCTTCATTGATACCCCTCTAGAAACACTAGATATGTCGCTTTGAAGATTCTTGTGGCCCATCAAACGGGATCGACAACCGAGCTAGACATCTTACGACACATCACTAAAGCGGCGCCAATAGAAGCTGCCGGCCACATCACGGGACTGCTAGACGAGTTCGAACACTCCGGCCCTAACGGTGTCCACAAATGCCTTGTATTTGAGCCTATGGGTCCGAGTGTGAACTCTATGGTCGAGGAGCTGCCCCAGTTTAAACCTCGGATGCTTGGAATGAAGGTACGCTATCCGCCATGGATGGCGATGAAGCAATCATTGGAAGCTCTAGCATTCTTGCATCGGAATGGTATTGCGCATGGAGATTTTCAGCCAGGAAACATCCTCTTCACTCTGAAAGATCTCAACTCAACGCCGGAAGAAGAGCTCCGGCAAGAGGAAAATGTAGAAGCTGAGTCGATCTCGCCCCTGGTACAGAGGCTAGATGGCAAGCAAGACAAATGGGCGCCTCGGTATCTTTGCGTTGCGCAGCCTCTGTCGCCCTTCACACATTACGCTGAAGGCTTTAAAGTCAAATTGTCTGAAATGGGCGGCGGTCAGTCCCACTTGATTCCAATATTCATTCTATGCTCCTTACGATTATTACTTGTACTCATTCTTGCCTATCATGAACAGCATATTTCTTTTCAAAGCCCCCAGAAAAACCCGTCACTCCCCTTGGCCTTCGGGCTCCCGAGCTTATCCTGACTGGAGCCGTTAATAACACGCTTGATATTTGGAGTTTCGGCTGCCTTATTTTTGAGCTTATCACCGGAGAGCCGCTCTTCTGCGTCCCAGGATCCGAATATGAAGATGATGATCATCTTCTCTCCCTTACAGAACGGCTCGGTGCCCTTCCTGATGATTTATTCATGCATTGGAGGACCTCCTCGCTTTACTTTACGCCTGAGAGGAAGCTGTTTAATTGTCAAATCGGAGGAGTCGGTCCGGAAGAGGAACCACTTTTGGTGGATCAGATATCCATGGAGGAGCAGTTCGACTCGACGGAGCCGGATATTGATTCGAAGGAAGCCGACGAAGTGAAGGGACTCATTCGATGGATTTTACAGTATGATCCTGCAAAGAGGCCATCTCCTGCCGAGATATTGTCTCATCCATGGTTCCGCAACATTGATGTTGGGCGCGTGTAATAGAAGGGACTCATTGACGGATAATTCTTGTCTCTGCTGTTCTTCTCCCTTCCCGTTTCTAGTTCATCTAGTGTGGTGTTTCTTTTTTTGTATTAGACCGCGGACACTACTTAAAGGAAGCTCCGAGCGGGCATACGAAGCCCACAGCTAAGCTCTGTTTCATTGGGCGTGGGAACGCGTAGTCGGTATTCCTTGTATGCTCTGAAACTTTCACCTACCCAACTTTTGCCAGTGTACTCACAGTCTTGGTATGAGCCCCCCTTCCTCGTGGCGGTTGTTGGTTACTGAGTAGATGTAACATTGTAGTAATGCTACTTTCTGTACGCTGCTCAAAGTAGCGGCCAAGTCCTTGTGGAGAGGTTGGTCACTTCTTCAACACACGTCACACGAGGTGAACACCATTCTCACTTCTTATTGCTAACTACGTCTCTGCAGAATACCCGCACTAAGCACAACTTCCCTTTATTATAAATTAAATACTGTACCTAATTAAGCTATGCTGTTGCTTAGCAAATGAGAGTATCCTTTGAACGCAACAGGAGCCGCGTCAATGTCCCAGGTTACACACTGGCTCAGCTTACGTGCTGCTCAGAGTATTCCCAGCGTTCGAAGGGACGCTACCCTCAATCGAAGATGCGGATGCAGCCGAAGCAATGGTCAAGTTTTCAAAGTCGACAAAGAATCCATCGTCATCGTAGTCGAAAGAACCAGAGCTGGTGTAAGCATTGGTGACGCAGTCTCTTCCCAAGTACGTCTCGCATTGGCTTAGATCGGCTGACTCAGAGCTGAACAACTGGCCGACAAAGCCGCTCTGCACAATCGTGGGGACATTGTTGAACCAATTGCCTTCAAAGAGTCCCATTCCGTTGTCGGTGCCTTCAATGGCGTGTCCGCTGTTATCGGCCCAGACATTGTTGACTGCATGGAAGAGTGTATTACCACTGAGGGCGGGACTGCGGCCGGAGGTGTAGTAGACGTAGTTCTCTGAATTTGCCATTAGTTCATCTCCAGGTTCAATTACTGGGATGCAAATCCAGTCATTTTGAGACTCACTGTAAAAAGTAATGAGGTCACTGGAGCCGACCAACTCGAGGCCCCAGTACGTGTGTCCATCACAGGTAGCGGAGTAGTCGGTCTTCCCGTTGATAAAGCTGTTGGAGATTGTAATGGCATTGTCGCTCTCTTGTCCAAAGCTGTAGTGCTGGCGACCTAGGGATGAAGTGGTGACATGGTCGATCCAAATCTGGTTGGTGTCGGAGAATGTAAGAGCATCGCCTCCCCAGACATATTTCGGGTTGAGGTTGGTGATCTCGATGTTCTGAATGATGATGTTGGAGACGCCCACGAACCGCAGGCCCTTACCATTGAGCACAGCGCCTGTTCCTTTGCCGACCAGAGTTTTGTCTGAGGCGACATTGATGCCCTGGTATCCTGCAACGTCAATGGTCACGTCATAGGTTGAGGTGTCACCACATCCACCAAGCGTGTTAAGAATGGCCTGTCCGCCGTTATCGGGAGTGCAATCATAAATGTTACAGGCCTGATAGGTTTTGGTGCCCTCAGAACCCACAAAGTCGAAGGTGCCCTCGATCACAATGTTTTGGGGCGAAGAAGAGGTGAGGTACTCTTTCAGCTCGTCGATCGTTGTCGGATAGACAGGAGTCGCGTCGCCTCCTCCCGTCACGCCCGCCGCGAAGCCGGGGGCACTCCCGGAGACAATGGAAGACTGCGCTGCCTTGGAATGGTGCGCGAAGGCCATCAAGGCCATAATGGTGGACGGAAGGTCGGGCCTCATATTAAAAGCGCGGTGTATGACCAGAAAATTGATTTCTTGAGGTTGACTATGTGAGTAGCTGTGGGCAGAGGTCCCTACAATGCATTTATGCTACTAGCTTGCCGAGGGGATACAGTTCACATCCGTGGATTTGGGGGACTGTTTGTCTTCAGCTGCTATATTGAAAACATCATCCGCTGGCCGTATATCCTGTCATTTCACGCACAAATCTTTGATTGGGCGTTCGGGGTAGATCCACCAACAGGATTGTAGCAAGTGGGCATGTGTTCTTCACTAAATATATCAACTCCCAGGATTGATTTTATGTCACTGGAATTTCCGGCCAGTCAGAGTGTCAACCAAAACAGCACAGGGGGTTGCAGCACGATGCGGACAATGCTCCGTGCTAAACACCGGATCCCTCGTGTCGAGTTCCGGAAACCCCGTGTCTCATCCAAGTCCCCACTCGGCACGGAAGGTGTCCAGTCCGAACGTTTCCAACCAAAGGAACCCCCTGCTGCATTGAGCTCGACGTATATGATTGATGCAGAAGTTTCTGTTCCCCCTCGACTAGTTCCTCCGGAAAATTACTCGAAAAAGGTTCGATCAACAACACATAATCAGTATGCTCCGATCGTAGTAAAGATAGGATGGTTCTGTAGTATATGCCGTGACGGTCAGCGGGGCGCCAAGCAGGGACCCTTACCGAACTGACCGGCTCAGCGCCATATCAAACCTAGCGGCGTTTAGTTGTTTGAGCATTGTCCATGCGATCCAAGAAAAACTCCTTTACTTTATCAACTGATAAGACTTTCGGGTGCTTGATTGTGGCATTCTTCCGGTTACCAATCTCTTCATATCGTTATCTCTGAGCATGCACACATGAGCCGCCGGATACAAACACTTGCAAGATGATATTTCTAATTGAAAGACTGGAGGAAACTTTGAGCAGCAGGAGACGACTACACGAAATTCATACTCTACAGAAGCCCCATATGTGCCAAGATGTACCTAGAAAGCTCCTGTGGGGAATGTATGTGTCACAGTGCCACAGTTCACAACCCACCCCTGATGTTGTCCCGGTCAACGCCGGCAGACAGTCGGACACCCCATCCAACCCGGGAAGATAGAGCGATGATCTCCTTCCTCGCCGTTCCACATGCGCCGTCATATCGGGCTATTATCGTTTTTTCGGAATCCAACCCCGTGCCAATGCTACAATTCATGTGGTCCGTTGTCTGTAAATATATTGCTCGCTCGGGAGCTATAATTACTCCGGTTTGCTAAAACACTCCTAGAGTGGACAAGTCCGGACTCAAGGAAGCATAGTCATCTGTACTACAGAGCGAATCCACAACTAAATATCGGCTGATCATGACCTTCATTGCCCCAAAGATCCAGTTGAAGGACAGAACTTCATGGTCCTTGCCATCCTGACCTCCTCAACCACTCCTCGAATGTACTAGCCCGCACTCCAAGATCCGCCCCGGAGCAATCTTCCTGGGGGGTCATGGTCCCATAGCAAATTTTCTCATCTGGCGCAACAGCAATCCATTCCATCATCTGCCTGATGTCCTCTTCATACCCCTTCCCAACCGTCCTTGCGACTGTGGCACCCCAATCATCTAGACTGATAGGATCGAAAATTGCCGGTTGATATCGCACGGTCGAAAAAATGGCCGGAAGATCAGCAAAGCGCATCTTAGAGCTGACCACTGGATATACTTTAGAGGCCGTTTTTTCAGGTCCAAGAGAGAACACTTCTATTTTTTCGACGGCCGTTAGCTACTACCGTAAGATATAACGAGGGTAGATTGTGGTATTGGGTCCAACGTGCCAGCTGCATATATGCCGATATCATAGCTTGGATCGGTCCAATCTGCGGTTTTGTTCCCGGGAACCGGCGGACAAAAACGGACGATCCCGTTTTCTACACAACGACGATGATTAGTATTGCCGCAATGCTACCTGTGAACATGGATACCCCTACCGTTTCGCCGGCAGTATTGCACCCATTGTACATTCGTGTAAAACAGCCCTTCGCGCGGCACATCAAGTAAGCCTAAGTCCAGGCACATCGGATCCTCCCGAGAGGAGCTACTCACCTGGCCGCAAAGCCGTCACGGCGGTCAACTCGCTCTTTGCGAGTTGTTCAATTTGAGATTTATGGTCGAAATGGAATACCTTTTGAAATTGCCCCTTGCTCGCGTCCGCCAGATTGGGTAGACTGCTGATAACAAAATGATGCACCCCAGATATTTTGGCAGCGGCCACGATATTCCTTCCCGCTACCAGCTCATGCTCAAGGTCCTCTTCGGTTTCAATCATTTGCCCGGGGAGACGATTATTAGTGACTGCAAACACGCCCCAGACCCCGTCGAAGGCGCGCTCTAGGCTTGTGACGTCATAGACGTCGCCAGGCACGAGCTGTAGTCGGCCAGAGACTTCTTCTTCTGGATAGACGGCGCGAAGTCGTTCTGCTTGGGGGGAGCTGGGATCACGTGTCACAGCACGAACGGTGAACGAGGCTGGGTGATGCGGGCTCTTCTGCAATAAGGCACGGACAACTCCGCTCCCTTGATTGCCCGTTGCGCCCAGTACAGCGATAGTGCGGGGGGTGGTGGTCGATGTTGTCATAGTTGAGAGACAGATGTTGGGCTAGAATATTTCTGTGATTTCGCGGTCAATAGTGGGTGTAATCCTGTAGGGACAGTTGTGATCGAGAAGTTTTGAGGCCATACACGACTCAGCCTTCGCATGTGGAATAGGATAATTTGGCCAGTCATTGTAAAGTAAATGGAAATCAAGCGCGGTCGGAATTACGGAACAGACTGTGTATATATCGAGGCCAGCATCTTGGATGTGCGGGTAAACCCCACCTTGAGACCAACCAGGGAGCGGTTTGGTTGTGGACAAGGCAATTTACTGCCTGGAATCATTATATGAATGACCCCGATTTTCCACGAAACCTGGGGAGACGATAATAATGCTGCTTACTCATATATCCGGGCACATATTAGTTACTATTAATGGACTAGCCTTGCCGAGGATGTGGTGAGCAGGTCGGATGTGAGTAAGCGAATCACTGCCGATAAAACTTCTTGGCGATGCAATCTGATTCTGCCTCAGCTTACGTTTGAACACATAGTACCGTATATTACACTTGTCTCGTATATTAGGCAAGGGATATATAACGGGCTTGTAGTCAGTAGTACAGCGATATGCCAAATTCAAAAGCCAATCCGCTGAGTGAGAACCTAGCAGTAACACTTACATATAATAGAATCATCAACTGCGAGAATACACAACATGAGCTTCGCCCGGAAAGAGGCATACCTCCCGCTCTATACAACTAAAAACATCTATGTAGTTGGCCTCCATGACACTAATACCTAGATTAATGTACCTAACAGGTTGCTTTGTTGCTTTTATGAGTATTATTGTCTTCAATAAGGGCAGGACATTCGTAAAGATCAGCCCAATTCAAAGTCAAGTGATTCAATAATAATAGTATGCCCGAGCTGCAGAAACCCATTGTGGTGGATTTTCTCACAGGGGAGTTCTTCTGAGCGCAACCAAAGGCTACATGGTCCGGTACTGACGAGATAGGTGGCTTCTGGGGGACCATAGACCTGGCTTCATGCTCATATCCGACACAACGATATTTCCTACCATGCTGGCCGAACAGCTGTTATACTATTTGCATCCACCATGACTTGAACGACTCGAGGGACTTATATGACATTGGTAGACCATGACAGACAACATTACATTCCCCTATCGTGTATGTTCGATGGACGACAGTGGAGCCATGTCATGCGTGGCATTCTTTCCTGACGCCTATGGCAGTAAGCACCAGTAGCAAGGGTTTTTCTAGTTCTTGATGTTCCAGGGCTATATATACTGGACGAACGATGGACATTGATATTCGAGCTCGTACTAGCTAACATATGGCGTCTCACCGAAACCCACTGAGCCCTAAGCCAGTCTCACGAAACCGAGCGTTCATCTCCGAAGTCGACGCAATGTACAGACGTGAGTTGGGGTGCTCTAAATTAGATAACTGAGTGTGGAAAACTCCTTACATGTTCAATTGAGCAGACAGGGCTGTGAATCTGACACACTGCGCATTTGACGATAGATATGATTGAGATGTAACCTTGGCATGTAGCCTCCGTACGTGAATGTTTTGAGCCCTTATAAGTGATGTATTCGAAGTTTTCTCGTCAAGGTCTGCGTAGAAATGGTTTCACTCAATCACAGGCTACCGTAATTGACGCGGAAATGTGATATTGCAGTGATGTAGTGTCCATATATGCCTAACTCATCACAGGGATAAGATTCTGCAGTTATATGTCGGTCAGTGGATGGGATAAGGGTGAAAATGTTTCTTTACTGTGAAATACAGCGTCGGCGCACTAACTGCTAGACCAAAAACGATATATCGCGTCTAGTCAGACTAGGGGCCCAGAGATTACTGTCCCAACATAAAGTGACGATTCTGTTATTCCCTGAGAATATGTGTATATACGAAATGAACAGTGCTTCGAACAAATAGTGGTTAAGTGGGCTCGTACTGCAATTGCTTCAAGAACTTGGCTCGATTTACAGTTTGGCCTGAAACGATTTGTCATTCGAGGGTATTGCCCAGATTCATGACTTGCATTTGGACTGCTGCGGAGAAGGATGAAGTAGTGAGAAACGATATAAAGATGACAGAATTCATGCTGCGATAGTATCCGGGGCTTTTCTGTCCGTAAAAGTCTACTTCCTTGCTTCCGTGAAATTTCTTCTCTCAGCAACATGGGAGGCGCTACTGCCACACCAGCCAGGCTTCTTCCACACCCTCCGCCTATCTTCGAAGTCAAGGTCCGTTTCCTTTAGGGTATTTTCTCCTTAATATCCATTACTGCCTTCTTAATCCGGAAGGTTATTGCCTAAGGTGCTGAAGCCATGCCTCAAGAACAAAACCCATAAAAGTAGCAGGCGGTAGGCTTCTGCTTGTTGTAGAGACCAAGCCTTACCTTGAATGGACGCAGCGTCACCTCAAATAGTTGGGGCCTTACCTTATATGGTAGGCGGAGGGTGTGGCATGAGCGAAGGCCGGTGTGGATGAAGCCTGGCTGGTGTGGCGGCAGCGCCTCCGATCAACTTTTTCTAAGTATCTGCTGGACCCACGGTATATAATATGGCAAACTATCGCCTTCGCAACGGAAATTGGATTTCAATATGTATGAACCCTATGTACTGGTGCAGGCCGCTCGGTCTGTTCGTTGCGAATTCAATTGCAGTTTTCCTGGCCCAGTAATAATATTAGCAGCCAATCGACGGATGACATGACCATGAGAGCAAAGTACTCGCACAGCTTCGGTGATAGTGTCAGCAAGACAGATATATCGGTGTTCATGGAAGAAGAAATCATATGAAAAAACCAGTCAGATAGGGCTGGCGCCGGCAGCTGGTGAGGGAAAAAAAAAAAAAAAAAAAAAAAAAAAAAAAACCGATAACCGATGGTCGATGTCACTTGCAGGACTATTATTGGATTTGGATTTCCAAGCACCATATGCTTCTATTGTTCTTGTGAGTAAACTGGCCGGTGTCAGAAAGGAAGAAAGTCAAAGGATCTTGAGTATGGGGCTCATATGTCAATTTGGCTGAACTTGCAACAGCCACAGCACCTGCGGAAATGATAACAGGGTCAAGAACCAGGCCTGGACGTCACTTGATTGAACTTCGTACTCCAATCCATGAGTCACATTCTTTGGAATGTTAAGGCCGTACGTGCTCTTGCTAGAAGCCTGCGATTGATGCCGACCTACACATATTAGGTATTCGGTCCTGCTTGATGAGGTCTCAGGCCAAGAATCGGAATAGGCTAGTAGCAAAATGCTTGTGGGGCAAAAGAGGAACCCACCAGATCCCCGGCAGATCGCATGCCGCTTGGTGCTTGTAGTAGCCTATTGGCCTCAGCTGAGGTCGCTGAAGGAGATTTCGAGATGCGTGCAGCCTGGCGCTTGCAAACGAAACACGTACAAGATCGGCGTAGGACGGCCTTCCCGGCATGGCGCAATCATTGGATGACTACATACATTTTATCTTTTTGGGATAACCTAAGTAACAGAACCCGTCAGCTACGATTAGACATAGGCCTGTCTTAATGCTGTGAGATTCGTCATCTCCAAGAATGTGTGCCATTCCGAGAAGACCACAGAACCCCGAGGTACCGGTAGGGAGTTGGAAGAATTCACATTCAGAGTCATGATGACCGTAGCAACACCCAAGCGCCCAACCTCACACCACTCGGCCGAGATTGTTCATGCATTGTAGTACTGCGCATGAGGTCAAGGATGTTTCGGGGTAAAGGCAGGGGTCCTCCTATCACTCACTACATCCCCTCGGTTATTATCCTGTAGCGCGAAGGGCGGAAAGAGGTAGGGGCTGGCCCATTTAGGACAATGTAGCGCTTCAATCCAATAACGGCACACACAGGACCCCACTGGTAAGTTGAAATAGCGTCTAAAAGACGTCTCATTATTTTACACTGCTCTGCATTTTTGAAATCGTGCACGCCTGCTCTACTGCTCGGAAATTCCATCATGACGAAGACCAGTAGCGATGATGTATCCCAAGCTCAGATCCCTCTTTCCCCTTCCCAAGTCAAACCACCACCCGATGGGGGCCTCAAGGCATGGACCCAGTCTGTCATGGGCCACCTGGTATGTTTTAATACCTGGGGCTACCTGGCCAGCTTCGGCGTCTTCCAATCCTACTACCAGAACGAGCTTGGGGTGTCCGAGTCCGCCATCTCGTGGGTGGGGTCCATACAGATCTTTCTCATCTTCTTTGTCGGCACCTTTTCTGGCCGCGCCCTTGATGCTGGCCTATTCCGTCCTGTCTTTTGCGCCGGTGTTCTCCTGCAGGTGCTGGGGGTCTTCATGACCTCGCTCGCTACCAGCTACTGGCAGCTCATCCTTGCCCAGGGACTCTGCACGGGGCTGGGAAGTGGCTTACAGTTCTGCCCGACCATGGGCCTCGTGGCCACGTACTTTGACCAACGACGCGTCTTTGCGGTGGCATTTGCCCTAGTCGGCAGCGGAACAGGGGGTATGGTATTTCCGGGATTGGTGAAGGGCTTGCTCCCGACGCTGGGGTTTGGCTGGACGATGCGCGTGGTGGGATTCGTCATGCTCGCCACCAGCTTACCAGCCATAGGTCTCCTACAGACACGACTTCCGCCGCGCAAGTCCGGGCCCCTGGTGGAGCTGGCTGCCTTTCGTGATCCCGTGTACACGCTCTTCATTGTGGGCATCTGGCTCAATTTTTGGGGCATGTATTTCGCTGTCTACTATTTGGGAGCGTTTGGACGTACAGTCATTGGCTTCACCTACTCCGAGTCAACGAATCTGATCATTGTGTTGAACGGCGCGGCCGTCGTGGGTCGGTTGGTCCCCGCATATTTAGCGTCTTTTCACCTGGGTCCGCTCAATACTATTATTCCCCTGGCGGCGGCCGCCGGTGTGTTGATGCTCTGTTGGGCGGCGGTCCACTCGTCTGCGGGGCTGTACGCCTTTGCAGTGTTGTACGGATTTTGCGCCAACGGACTACAAGGCATGTGGCCGCCGACGCTGTCGAGCTTGATTACGGACCTGAGTAGGGCTGGAACACGGATCGGCATGGGCTTCACTATAGTCAGTTTCGCGTGTCTGACAGGGCCGCCATTGGGCGGTGCCCTCGTTGCCAAGGCACATGGTTACATTGGAGCGCAGATGTGGGCGGGCGTGGCCATTTTGCTGGGGTCCTTTGTACTTCTGGGTGCGCGAACAGCCAAGGTGGGCTGGCGTGTTCTAGTCAAGGTGTGATTGGTTATGTTTGAGAACAAAGCGAACCCGGTGAGCTTGTTTATGTGAAGGCTT